GACAAGAGAGGTATAACTGGTAGTTAAAGAGAAGGCTTGGAAGCAAAGAGCCTTCGACTCGCGTGCGATATGTATAGCGCGGCATCGAAAGCAGTGGCGAAAGCCGAAGCTGATTCCTGGGAGAAGTTCGGTGAGGTGTTGGAATCGATTTTCCACACGGCAAACAAAGTATTCTGGTAGACCACCTGAGGTAAATAGAAGAGCAGTCTAAGAATCATGAAGGACAGGTCAGAACAACCTCTTACCAAGGATAAAGACATCCTTGGCAATGGAGAGAGTACTTTGAGGGACTCCTTAAGCCTGAGCAACCGCAGAAAGACTCACCTGTACAGCAGCAGGGAACGGATATTGCTGTTTCTGTAGAACAAATCACACAAGCTGTGAAAAGCTTGAACAGTAGAAAGACTGCTAGAACTGATGAAATCCGGCCTGAAATGTTTGAAGTACTAAACGAACAGAACATGTGCTGGCTTACTCGTGTCTGTCAAACTGCAATGGCTACGGGAAAGCACGAATACGAGGGTTAACCCTGCTCAAGAAGGGAGACCAAATGGACTGTCCCAATTATTCGGACATTGCCTTACTGAGCCTCCCCGGAAAAGTATACCCAAAGGTGCTAAAAAGGAGGCGCCGCGGAATAACTGAATCCGAGATAGAAGAGCAATGTGGCTTCCGTGTCGGTCGAAGCAACCCCTACGTCAGATTATTGAGAAATCATGATAGTTTGCCCATCCGATGTACATGTGCTTTGTTGACACTGAGAAAGCCTGTGACCGGATCCCTCGCAACAATCTAAGGGCATGCCTGCAAACATATGGGATTGATGGCCAGCTGCTACGGGCCACCCAATCTATGTATTGTGATGGCAGGTGCTGCGTCAAAGCAAACGGCGTTAAATCGAAACCATTCAACGTTCGCGCTGGTCTCCACCAAGGCTGCGCCCTGTCCCCAATTCTGTTTGTGTTGTACATGGATAGAATAGTCAGGAGCTGTCAAGGCGATGAGGGCATCAGTGTAGAAGATCTGAAGTCGAGAAGGTTGCTGTTTGCAGACGACCTTGTTTTATTAGTATCTTCTGAAACTGATCTTCGACGCTCATTAGAAAGGTTCGCAGCCGAGTGCTTCGTAACCGGCATGCTTATGAACGCATCTAAAACGAAAAGCCTAGTTTTCTCGTTCTCTGGCCCGTTGCTTTCTTGAGAAAAATGGAGAGGCAGTGGAACAGGTGGAGAAGTGAAACCTCAAGGTAGGATAGGAGCAGACAATGGATGCGTGAACTACCCCGAACCGTTGTGGCTAATGCATTGTTGAATCCGAAAACTGAGC